TCGGCCTGAGAGGCTCTGTTGCCGGGAGTGGGCGGGAGGGGGCAGGGTATATTGGAGGGGAAGAGTAATTTGGGAGCGGGGGTACATTGTAGCGGGAGCGGCTAGGTAGGAGAGGTGCCCAGAACGTCGAAGGTGTTTGGATCGAACGGTGGGCGCGGGGCTATTTAATAGGTAATCAAACAAAATATAAATTGAATTGTACACTATGTGATTAAACGTATCCGGACACGTGGCTGAAAATTACTTACCAGTTCATGGCGCCCTCCATCGGTAATGTTGGAATTCACCAGAGTGTTTGCCCACCCGTACGCCCAATGACAGTTCCCACTCTAGCAGGCGTACTTTCAATCAGGCGCTGGAAGGTTTCTTGGGGAATGGCGGCCCTTTCTTCACGGGGTGCTGCACTGAGGAGAGGTATCTGTGTAGGTCGGTGACGCCTTGCACGAAGTCGGCGTTCGAAAACATCCCAAAGGTGTTCCATAGAATTCAAGTCATGTCTCTGTGCAGACCAGTCCATTAAAGGGACGTTACTGTCGTATAACCACTCCGACACAGGCCGTGCAGTATGAACAGGTGCTCGTGTTGAAAGATGCAATAACTAAGCCCGAATTGATCTTCAACAGTGGGAAGTAAGAAGGTGTTTAAAACATCAACGTATTCCTGTGCCATGATAGCCATGATTTGTAACACGAAACAAGGGATGTAAGCACCTGCATGAAAAACATGACGGCACCATAACACCATTTTGGACGTGTCCGGATACTTTCGGTCACGTAGTGCACATTACTAATTTTCAATGCTCGCTGAAAATGAAATAAAACTATGCAACCTCAGTTCATGTGAAAGGTGTCTATGGTATCGGGAAACACTTAGGAACTAGCAAAAAATCCGAAGCCAATGAAACAGTGTCGACTGGGACTAAAAAATTGAAATATATTATTTTAGTAGGCATATTCTAATAGTACGCGTACCGACTGCCATCCCATACTCATTGCCACTCTGCTCAAGACACAGCTGCAGGAGACTACCCGTCACCGAATATTCGCTAATCGCATTTTGCGTTATAGAGCACAACCTGATATTCTTTTATGAAAAAAACTGTTAAATCAATCCATGTTGCTGCAGTATTCAATTTTTCAATAGTAAATTGGAGTGAGAACGTATCATTTTTGATGTATTAATTATTATATTAATTATTATTCCTCAAATTATTTATTGATACAGACTGTTTCACTTTAGAATTATGTACTTTTACAATACTTATTTTATAAAAAACGAATTTGTCTATGAATATTCAAAAATGTTCCGAATTAATTCAATTTTCTCAGCTCCTCGGGGAGAGAGAATTAGCCAGCAATTTAATTAAGGTAGTATATTCGTTCAGTCGACCACGATGAACTCCCAAAAATATTTTAAATGAAAGTGAAATATCAGTTCTTTAAGATGGCAACAAAACATTTGGCCGCCATCGATCTATTTTTTTAAAGAAAATAACCTGAATTAGAACAGGCTCTTAAAGAAAAAATTTCGCACAAATATGTTTTTGCAAGACATTAAAGAAAGGTCAAAATATATTTTCATTTTATTAAATACGTAGAAATGTATTGAGAAAGCAGATAGCAAATGCAACATACCTCACCGGACATTCTGTGAAGTAATTGATAAAATAAAAAACTGCTGCGACTTTCATGAAAATCGGAAGTAATGACTTTTGGCGCCATGATATTATCAGCACTCAGCAAGTTTTCTTCGGGTGTTATTGAAAACCATCCCAACTTTGTTATCACACAAAACCATAAACTGAAAAAAATTACTTTTCAATGCAACCAACGCATTACTAATATTCAAGGCAGAAAGAAAGAAAATTGCGCGGGTCCACGTCACCCTAACCTACATTAATATCGCCAACGTATGAAAATGCAAAATCGTAGAATATGCTAAATTTAATATTAATATTAAATCGCTAGACTACACAGTTTTTCTATGGCTACTATTCAATACTTCTCTTATAATTATTTAAATGCTCCATTCACAGGTACAAACGGCTATTTTTAGTTTATAGATGTAAGAATCGGTTGTGCTTGACTATAGACTGGCCACAATTAACTGCCTTGCGGCGCTCTGCTGCCAGGCGAGAGTTGGAGCGAAGACTATTTTTCAAATATTGCTAATCTTTTAATTTTTAAAAAAAATGTATGTTAAACTTTTACTCATCTTTCAACTATTTATAGTTAAAATGACGGGAAGGGATTCTGGCACTCAAGAAAACGTGCGCAGATAATCTTTCCCCCTACGTCACATACAGTTTTTACTGTTTTTTCGACTGAATAAACTAAATCTAAATTTAAAGACCGGAGGCCCCGTGCCCGCGCTCGGAGTTGGGGTCCTGGTTAATGCATGAAAGAAATGTGGCAATGCCGAGGTTTACAAGACTGCTGTTTCCTTGACTGTCGGCCTCAATTACTCATGCTACTGCGTTCTACGTATTTGTCATTACTAATAACGTCATTACTGTATTGTCTATTTTTGAAACGCGTTTAGCATTACATCATTGAGATATCAGCAAAGATTTGTGGTAATTGTTGGTAATGATCTCGGTATCTTTATTTCATGTCATACAAATAGCAAAGACAAATTAACAATAATGGGCAAAATACGAGAAAAGTAAACACTGATACAGATGACTAAGAGTATTATTTAATAAATAACAATCTAATATATAAAATACCCTAATTGTTTGTTTGTTCGTTGGTTGGTTGGTTGGTTCAGACTTAATGCGCTGCCGTACAGTTCATCGGATTGCGACAAAACTTTATAAACTTATTGCTTGCACTTCCAGAAAGAATACAGGCATAATGCAATGGGAATATGCCAGCTCACACAGACGCGCATTGATGATTTTATGTAGACTCAAGGGCTCTGATTATTACACAACTGCACTCTACGCAACCCCTTGCACAATGAAGTACGATTATTAAGACGCCTTCATAGCGTATTTTGCTCGCGTGATTGTGAAATTTCTCTCGGGAGAGACAGATACAGAGAGAGAGAAACAGAGTTAAAGGAACATAGACAGAGAGATGAAGAGAGAGACGGAGAGGGAGAAAGAAAGACGGAGAGAGAGAGAGAGAGAGAGAGAGAGAGAGAGAGAGAGAGAGAGAGAAAGAGAGAGACGGAACCACACTCGCGAGAAAGTTTTTCGTCTATTTCGATTAACTTTTTCTAGAGATTAGCGCAAAACGTGATTAACAATCATGTGACCAGTCGCATGTGAAGTGTAATACATTGCAATAACTAAGCATTGTCGTGTTCACTAGTTATTCATAGCCATTCCAATTGCAAACTAACATTATCCGGTTTAAGAGCTATTTCCTCAAGAGGTTGTCAATCTTCAGTGAAGTTCAACTGTAAAGACGCTCCCCCAATTCTTTGAATGTGGAGGAACGTGAAGATTATTTTTCGTAGCTTTTTTATACTTATCTTTCTCAACTTCCTTAAATTGAACTAGCTTTTTGTTCCAATAATGTACAATATTATTGATTCTTTTATTGATTTTTGGAAACGTCAAGCTGATTAATTTGTCGCCAATTATAAACCCGAGAAATCTGGAACGAATATACTTTTTTTAAGTGACATTGAAAGAGGGAGAATACATTACTCTGCTCAAACGTTCTAAGATGCTTGGATAGGGAACGAAAATTCACGCAATGAAGTTGAGTAAATCGTGACAATAATATATCGATATTCTTTTTATAAAATTTGCAAAAATAGCGTTGAAAGAATTAGAATACGAACTTAGAATTTCCCTGAAGTTAAAAGTATATGAAGCATATTCTTATGCTTCAACCACGGTGAGCTCTTTAAGCGTAACGTCATGTACTGTAACTTACACCATGAGAACCACAAAGAAGTCGATGACTTTGAAATGAGCGAGAGCGTGTTAAACATACGCGTTAACCTCCAGATTCTAGTTCAGGGCAGTGCCTCCAGTTTATGCAGATTGTAGGTTAGCATGTGTTAACCCAAGTTAACACACTACGGCCTTTGGAAAACTTGGGCACCTCGTTAGTGAACTACATTAGAATTTCTCAGAACAGTAGGAGAACATACTTTCTATTATAAACGAACTCTTTTTCTCTCAAACGCCATATATATTTTGGGTAACTAAAAAAGTCGTGTGTAGGAATGTTGACGTGTGTTTCATTGTGTACCAAATTATTTTACTTAGTATAATACAGACTAGACAGTGTTTTATGCCACTTTAATAGCATGACCTTCGCAATGTAAATATAATTGCCATCCAAAAAATGATGTATGTTCTATTACCATTCAGAAGAATTATTCCTGCAAATGCTATACATTTGTCATTCATTCTCGTATTAAACGCTGAAGTATGTCCGTATTTATACTTCGAGGCCATCAATAATATTCATTGGAATACACAACAATAATGTCGTTTTGTCTGGAACAAAAGTAAAGCTAGTAAATTTAGCTGATGTCAAAAATACGTTTCGCTTTGGGAGATGAACCTTTGATCTGCTCCTCTAAGCTGTCCCGATAGGGGAATACTTTGAGAATTAATAGGCAAATCGACTACTTATTTCAATCAAGAGCAATTTGTAACAATTCTCTAACGAAAAGTAACTTTGTCACAGACATGTTTGTATTAATGACAGCACTCCGTATGGAGCACGTAAAAACATCTTAGTCTCGCGTAACAGTAGAAATTATCACAAAGTTATCGTTAGTACTGTTCTTAGTAAAATGTCATCGCTCCAACATCAGCATTTTAAATTACCATTCTCAACTCAATACAGCCAAACGAAATGTGTACTGAGTAAATCAAATTAGCAAGTTTTCACGCGAGCTTCTTCCCATTTATTTCAAGGGCCGACTCCACACTCAGCACTCTACTCCTGCGTTATTTCGGACACGAAAGCAAAATATAAGGCAAGACATAAAAGAAGAACGCAAACAAAGGCACATGCCGCAGCCCTTACCTCAACGACGAAGTATAGTCGCTGCCTGGTGAGCAACTCCACGGCAGCGTACTTCTTACTTGAACTCGTGAGAGGCGTGCTGCAGGACGGCACGGGGGCACTCACAGTGCAATTGCGCATGCTGTCTACATCCCGACAGCACGCAGTCCCCAGCCGGCTGCCAACACAACAACAAGCACCATGAGAATGCAACCGGCTGGCAGATTTCACACTAAAATTGTCAGATGTCTTTTAAATTGTCAAACGCAGTTCCTTCAGCAGCATTGTTTTCGATCTCAAATGAAATGTTACAATGCAATAATAACCCCAAGTCTCAACGAAGTACAATTTTAATTGAGGTACGCAAAAGAGAGCTCAGACAACTCAGAACATTTCATAATTTTAAATAATTAATTGTAGACATCTGACAAATTTCAATTGAACATTTCCTTCACTCCATTTTCATGAGAACCATCACCGAACATTATTTGGAGACACCGTTGTTAAATGCAAAAAAAAAAAAAAAAAAAAAAAAAAAAAAAAAAGCCCCTCCATTTTTAAAACTTAAAATATTAGAATATGATCACGAGAGGTAGATCATGAATGTTTTGAAACTGTGAAATGGAAATGTATTAAATATTAAGTTTTCGTTTGAGTAATTTTCGTTATTTTAACACGATATTTTTATAGATTTATACAATATCATAAAGTAACGGCATTGCACGAAAATAATACAAAACTACAATAACAAGAAAAAATAATAATAATAATATAATAATAAACATGCGTTTTTCTACTTAATAAAGGGAATTGCATGCATATTTCACTACTTTCATTTCTATTTGTTAATATGATCCTTAAGGGTTAATTTACTGGATTCCCAAGTACCTTGAATTGACTGTGAGCTACATCTGGCCCATTGGTCTGGTGGTTCGATATGCCATTCCTCGCAACACCTATTGTTGAAATCAGTTCATTAAGTGTTGAACCCGGAGTCCTCGTTCCATTCTTGTGCTCGTCAGTTTCAAGGCTGGAGCCCTTACTTGGAACTGGTTTTTTTGTAACTTCCTGTTGAAGCATATTCATGTTGTCTGCGTTCCTGATGGTATCCCGTTTCTTAACTGGCTTAGCGTTCTTAAAATGACCAGACATATTGTTCACTGATCTACTCTGAGTGCCTTCAGACGTCATGCAATTCTTTGGTTTGTTTTGGATTTTTGCTGGATCAGATACTTTATTGAGTTTCTTATTTGCCAAAACCGTAAGTGCTCTGCTGTTATTTCCATGCTTCAAGGAACCAACATTCTTAATAACGCCATTGGCTTTTGGTTTGTTGTATTTTTCTTCATTCTTTACCTGACACTGAGAACTCAAACTTGGGAGCAAATTCTCATTCTTTTCGGCTTCTTCGTATTGCAATGCAGATGTACAGGGCACGTTTTCTTCTCCACTTGCAGTTTTAGAACAAGATGGCACGTGAATATCTCTCGCTTCAGGAGACTGTTTCATTGTATATCGTTTTGTCTCACGAGATATATTGGAGGTATCAAACTCCTTGACTGGAGCGATTAATTGATAATAATCAGATTCTACATCACAATTCATAATTCTGTGAGCTTCATTGCCGTAAGAGGTGACAAATGACTCTGCTGGCAGGCTTTCTTCGACTTTAGAAAATGTAGCTGTTTCTGACGCAGAAGGTTCCTTGCTTGTTTTTTGTGATGTGGCCCTGATCTGTCTGTGATTCCATAACGATGGAGAAGAACTTAATGCTGCACTGTCTCCATACGAGATTTCTGCCATGCCATGGAATGACCTCGATCTTCGTCTTTTTATTGGGTCCTTAAGCACTGCGCCAATCGTTTGATCAGTTGGCATATTTTTAACCTCACAAACATTAACATAATATGGGTCAGTATGAATCATTTTATTTTCAGCAGGAAAAAGTGTGTTTTTCAAAGCTTCCTGCTTGCAAGAATCAATTGATTCAGCAACGCCTTTAATAGGCGAAACAAGTAGCTCACATTGCACCCCATGCGACGCTATAGGTGCTGGAATCGGCCAGTTCTCGTAGGACGCACTTGTTCCAGTTTGCGTCTTAACCACTGAATCTTCATGATGTGCTAATCTGTTCGTCGAGCATTGAAGTGTCTCGTGTAAGTCAATAGGTTGGTATGGTACAGACATCAATTCTGGAGGAGCTTGATTATGAGACATATGCACTATCGGCGTAATGACTCCAGATACTGGGAACATCACTGCGCATGACCGTGTAGCAATTGTACCGTTTGTAGAAGGAACTGATGAGACTGGTTTATCATGAACCCAAGTCATCTTCAAGCTGGGGTAAGAGACCGCTGCTGCAACTGCAGGAAGCGTATTCATGGGTGGATTTCCTATTTCTCCAGATCTAATGACAATGGTTTGACGATAATACATTTCTTCTGACAATGTCGATTCCCATTGACGTGTTGTTTCTGTTTGGGTTGACGCTTCGACAACTTCTTTTGATGACGTCAGCACAGCGCCTGGCTTCGGAGGACTTTCGTATGGAGGTGTGTAATCTATGGGCACAGGAGTTAAGACTTCCTACCACATTCTTCAATAGACAGCTCAACATACAACAGTTTCGCCAGTATCAAACAATAGAGATTATAATCCATTATAGGCTTACACAATAATAACTCGAGAAAAAGCATTTGCCTTTTAGTCCATTCCGCTGCACTGCAAAATAATTATCGTTAAAAAATTGGAAATTACATTAACAAATGATGTGAGATGAATTAGAGAAAATCAAATATGCAAGATGAGAGTACTGAAACAAGTAGATGAAGAAATATACAGATTCTGTCACCCAGAGTTGGCTATAATGGACGCTGCCGCACCGATTCCTATAATACCACAAAGCCAATTTTTTTTCTTAACCTGTTATCTTATGCGGCTGCAGAGGGCCAATGGCCAAGCTAAAATAAACAATAACAATTTTTTTCTTAACTTCATCGGCTGAGTTGTATTATCACTATTAGTATAAAAGTTGTGAAGGAAACAGATCGTTCATAACTATAAACAATACTCAAATATTAATCATCGCAAATAGTAGCTGTTGCTTCTCATGAGAGGCGGATTCAGAGGAATAGGGCCAGGGGACCATGTTTGTAATTTTTTGGTAATGTTTCTCAATTTAGTTATAACAGTTACAACCTGTTCATTGCCTTACATTTCACAAAGAATTTTTACTTCGCTCGAATGGACGGTATTTTAAACAGAAATTCACATTCTAAAGACGTATTTTTTTCAACAAATGTAAAGGCACAGTGTCCATACAAAAATTTATATTTCTCCACTTTCCGAAATAATATCTCGATACACCTCTGCGCTTCAATTTTACGACTCAGAACTTGTCCCATATCTTCGCCAACTGACATTTACTAGAAACTAACATGAAAGCAGGAATACAGATAAACTAAACATTGTGCTTCTAGGTACGTAGTACATTTCACTGTTTTAGTAGTGAGTAAAATGGTCGGGTTAATAATAAAACTAGATAAAGCGCACGTTTTATTTAAGCACAAGGATTCCTACTACACCCTTTTAATATACACAGTTGAATGAAGTGTAAATGTACCAACATAGCGTGGATTGCAACTTTTGAAAACTAGAAATTTTAGCTCCCGAGTAATAAAAATGTCAAAAAATGACTTCTTGAATACAACATGCACAGGACTCGCAGCATCATTTTCGACACACTGTTCAAAGCGATACCCTTACATATCGTATTTGCTTCTCAACATATTTTCCATTAAAGTGTGTACGTTTAATCACACCATTAGCAAGAAACTCTAACGGTGTTTCGTAACACCGTATTGGTTAAAAAACTAATAGCTAACGTACAAATGAAGTTTTATAAACTTTGAAGACGTCGCCCTCTGATTGCTATGGTGGTTCGACGCTCCGTTTTATTTTGGCAAAATCACGTTGCGCGAGCGTTCCCTTACTCTGCGGTTGTCAATCTCATGGAAAAGGTGGTAGAATCGGAGTGATATTGTGTTCAACTAAGTGAAAAGTTATTTTCCTCTTTTTTTTTTGGCCATTATGGAGCACCTTCAAATCCATCAATTACAGGAGACCAGAACAATAAGACTATTAATAATTAAGCTAAATTAATAGCTAGCGAAAATGCTATATAGGGAGAGAGAGAAACAATAAAGACCCAGATGATCTAGTCTACAATCATAAGAGCATCGTTGTGTCTAATCAAGTTTTCCCACTAAGACCATTAATTTTTAGGAACACGATAATTATTATATCTAATGTTTACGCAAGTATTCCATACAAAGTGATTTAAAAAAATATTAACATTCGGTGTTATCCTTCTTTCGTGCGGGAGTTAATAACTTCCATTTGAGCGCAAACATTTGCTTCAGCGCATGATAAACATAAATTACCTGAATCATTTCAAGAGTTAATAGATAAGGTACCTCATTGGATGGATGTAACCCCTAATGTTCCTATTTGTGTGTGTGTGTGTGTGTGTGTGTGTAAAATCATTTCCAGAACACTGAGTTCAAATTACACAGTATATTATTACATACTAAAGTGTTCCCTGCATTTTCATTTGTGAAACAATATTGACGTGTTAATATCATTCCTATTAATGTTTTAATAATTATAAACTGACACAAAATATGAAAAAAATAATTGAAAAGTGGATTTAGTGAGTTTAAAGAGTGAAATTTTCACTGCAGTATATAATAAGACTAAGCACTGAAAATATCCATTATTATAACAGTTGAAAAATATTCAATTTTGTGGGAACACAAAGGATACACCAAAGAGTATTTCGGAAAACATTCTCTTAAATTCTTAGGTTTCAGAATTTAAAAAAGAAATAAATAAAATGCCTTCAAAAGCCAAAAGTGGAAATTCGTTGACAGAAAAGTTGCGTAAAATAGTTGGATCTGTTAACAACACACATGAAGGTTCTAAAAATATGACGTCAATAACTACCAACGGGATTATAAGGAATTCGAAATTTAAATTGCTTTAAATTCGTCGAGCAGGTACTCGTAGTACCTTGTCATTTTATGGAGACCCTGTTTTTCGGGCCGGAGTTTATTTTGGTCGCACTGGAGGTTTTTGTTCTCCTTGCAATGAATTAACCGCGAAGTTAAATTCGTCGGGTGCGAGAACGGGAGACGACAGCGAGCTGCGGGATCCCGCGGTCATTAGAACCGAGTTTTATAGACCCGATGGGCTTCTACGGCGGCACGCGGCCTTCTAGTGTCTTTTGGAATGAAGGCACACCACACGTTTGGACGCTGGTTCTCGCTAATAGTCGTATATATTCATAGTTTACGACTGCCTTTAATTTTCACTCGAAGTGTTTCACCGCTTGGGTCTTCCAAAAAAATGGCCCCGGTGACCGTCGGCAGCGACTGCTTTTCGGAAGGGAACCACCTTCGTAGCGACGGACCTGCAAGGCAAT